TAAATATGTAATTATCAGCGACAATTTTTTTACTCGCTAATGTTAAAATTTATGGTCGCTATAATATTAATACGGTTGCTATAGGTATACATATAGTAACCACGTATTTTTGGTTGATAAATGATATTCTTTTAACAACCGAGTACGTGGTTACAATAGATTTTATATGGTCACAAACCTAACGTATTTTAGTGACCACGTTGCGACCAATAAATTCGTTGCTCAATATAATAATTTAACTACAAGAATAGTTGGTTGCAATAAATTTTAATTTGTCACAAATATACCCCAATTTTTTGCATATAATAACCAAAAATAACAATTAATAATTCTTATTTGCAAAACAATCAAATAATGAACGAAAAACAATTGTTTATTGCTACTAATGACAAAAACCAAATAATAATTGTAAGGAAAAAAAATTGAATTGATAGCTGGTTACTACATATTAGCACCTAACTAATTAATTGTTGACAAGTGAATTAAATCAGTGATCAATCTATATACAGTAGCAACCAAAGAAACCAAACACTGCCTCGCCGATTAAATTGAACTTAAAACCGCTGACAACATTCACATCTGGAACTTGATTGAAGTAATATCATTAGCTTCAACTGCCTCTGCCTCTCTACGGGTGCCTGAAATTGGGTGCCTGGAATTGGATGCCACAGAGAATCAGAAGATATACATGCAATTGTTTTCCCAATGTAGTGATCATATAAGCAACAAAAGCAACAAGGAAAATCTTATGTAATGAATTGATTTACCTTATCAGTAGAGCCACCAACTAAACTTTAGCCTCAACTGCAAATTTGGCATTTATAAGTTATAACCTACATAAGAGATGAAAACAGGGATTCAAGTTTATGAGAAACCAAGTCCAATGAATTTATCATAACGAAACATGAAATCAAATATGCATATGATTCACCAGTTTACCTTGTTTAAATGACCGCTGAGAGAAGTCACTACCTGGCCTTGTGGAATGTAAAACAATACAACTTGTCAATCATATCTAGCAATGGCAGGCAATTACATATACTGACTTAATTATAGAAGAGCAATAAAATTACTAGCATAAATGTAAACTTCGATTTTTCAGCTGTATGTAAGATATAAACACATACCTTTTGTATGTCAATTCCTGTTATAGGGTTGAAAATAAACTTGAATTGAACAACCCTATGCATTTAATAGTATTTTTTGGATTACCAGACGTAAGAGTAAAGTACAAAACAAAAGAATTGTGTTGTTTCTCATGTTATCCTATTCTTCCGGAGTAACTATTCAAGGCATCTCCTATTAATCAAGTGCAAGACAAGAGAATTAGCAAACACTTGAGAGTGGATAACCACTTGAGCCTCATGACTCCACACTTTCTCATCAATTAAGAATTCAATTTTCAGTCATTTGTAATGATAAAATGGGTATAAATATAGAGAACTTACATTATTTCATAATTTCTGATTAGAAGATTTGGGACTTTCATATACCTGAGAACTCATGAAGAATTTGTGCTTTAGTGGGCTGCAACAATGCCAACCGGGGCTCGAGAGGCGACGCCCGTTTCCCCCTTTGAACAGAGCATAAAACTCAATTAAAAAGGGCAAAATTTAGAACATCCTTAAACTTATCCATGCAATCTACGACTTTTAAGAAGAAACTGTTCTCAAGTTCTAATTCCAAACCCCCCAAATTCTGTTCCGAAAACAGGTGCGGTAGGAGGTTTATTATCTCGGAAATTTCACCATACAACTGTTGAATTAAAATTGGTTTTTTACAATTGACTAAATTTGGGGAAAATTTTATATTCCTATAATATCTAATATGTTCTACAACTTTTGTGAAGAAACAATATTTAAATTCGAAGTCTAAATACCTCAAATCGACTCCTAAAAATTCAGCAGCCTCGCCAGATTCAGACAACTAGCGTCGGAGAAAATCGCCGAGAACCACCACAAACATCAAGATTAAGTCTCAAGCTTTTGACGGTTGGTCCCAATCGTCGACACTCCATTGATAAAACCTTGTAGCACTCTCTTCGAAGAATCAATTTGGGGGTTTTTTGTTTAATCTCAATTCCTCAAACCTAAACAGGATTTACTAAGAATCCTTTCATAGAATTCGATTTTGCCATCAATTTATGTGATTCCATCCTAGAATCAGTAGAGAGAAAGAGAGAGAGCGAGCAGACGAGAGAGATAGTGAGAGAGTGAGAGACGAGTTTGGGAGAAGGGGATATGAATCCGTCGTCATAATCCCTTGCCTTTATTCTTTTATTTTTCTTTTCTTTATTATTTGTTCGTTTATATAAACATAAATAATATAATTGATCATCTTACACAATTTGGCCATATATTCAATTTGGCCACATATGAATATATATATATATATATATATATATATATATATATATATATATATATATATATATATATATATATATATATATATATATAAAGGCTCGAAATCAAAATTGAAATAAATGAAAATACGGGGTGTTACAGTGATAGATCGATTGAGCCGATTATTGTGCGATGGGCCGAGGGAGGATGTAAAACAGGGGAAAGTGGATCTGATACAGTTGCACGGGTGGGGGTTTTCAATCGACATATAATTATAAAATATAATACATTAATACAAGTTTGCACATATATATACATATAAAATATAGTATATTATTATAAACCATTCGTTGCGTGATCACTATTTATGAAAAATGAAGAACTTAAAAATTAATTTATATTTATTTGAAAAGTTAAAAAATGCTTGTGTATTATTATCTTGTTAACAAATAGTTTTTGGAATTATGATTTTTCATTTATTAGTTAGTTTAAATAAATTTTGAAATTTTGAAATGGTTGATGTTAGAATATTATTAACAACCAAAATAATTGGTTGTTAATGATCACTTATAAAAATTATAGCAACCATCAATTATTTTGTTAATAAATTCGTCACTAATAATATTTTTTACTGGGACCATTAAATAAAGGTCGCTGAAAAGTAGATATTTGGTCACTATATAACTAATCAACCCTCAACAAATTATAGTGACCATTTATAGCTACCGAAAATTACTTGGCTGCAAAAAAACTAAGAAAATTGACTATTGTAACCAAATTATTTTTGGTGGCTATATGTATATATTTAGCGACCATTTTCTTATCATCACTGAAAAATTGGTCTCTAAAGCTAGTTTTTCTTGTAGTGGCACTTTTGCGCATGTTTTTTTACATGTACATTTGTGCATGTCCATTTGAGCGAGTGTGTTTGTGCATGTTTGTTGATATGTATTAATGTCCTAGGATTGTAGTTTATGTTTTAATGATCCTTTTAGCGAATGCACTTTTGCGTGAGTACTTTTGTGCGTGCTTTTGTACTATTACTTATGTGCGTATATTTTGTAGCGAGTGTTTTTGTGCACGTTTATTGATTCGCATTCGTGTGCTCGTACTGTAGCACGTATTTTCATGATCTCTTTTGGAATCCAATTTTGACTATGTTCGAGTCCGAATTTGGAAATTTGACATTAGACAGGAATTGTAGCTCGCTAAAATAGCTTTCTGATGCCGCCGGAACCAGTTGATTTGGAGTCCGGATGAGAAAGTTATGCTCGACTTCGTGGGCACTGCCGAAGATGTTGAGGGATCCTCTCTTCTAATTTGATTTTATTTTCCTAATTGCAACTCTTTTCTTACTCTTTGATCATTTCTGCTTTGTTGACACTTAATTATCAATTTGTACCTATAGAATACTAAATCCACCAATTATAACAGAAATATAAATTAATCCATAAAATAATCCACGTAAACTTAAACGTTGAGTGTTATTTCTAAACTCCACTGTATCTGTTGTATCTAGTGTTTTAGCTATTGTTTGGTTATGCGTATTAAAGTCCTAGTGTTGTATTTCGTGTTTTTAAGAAGGTTGGTGAATGTTGACAGGAATTTCGCATGTTTTTTTACATGTACATTTGTGCATGTCCATTTGAGCGAGTGTGTTTCTGCATGTTTGTGTATATGTATTAATGTCCTAGGATTGTAGTTTGTGTTTTCATGATCCTTTTTGCGAATGCAGTTTTGCGTGAGTACTTTTGTGCGTGCTTTTGTACTATTACCTGTGTGCGTATATTTTGTAGCGAGGGTTTTTGTGCTGATCTATGGATTCTCATTTGTGTCCTCGTACAGTAGAACGCGATTTTCATGAGTCGCTTTTGGAATCCAATTTGGACTATGTTCGAGTCCGAATTTGAAAATTTGCAATTAGACAGGAATTGTAGCTAGCTAAATAGCTTTCTAATGCCGCCGGAACCAGTTGATTTGGAGTCCGGATGAGAAAGTGATGCTCGACTTCGTGGACACTACCGAAGATGTTGAGGGATCCTCTCTTCTAATTTGATATTATTTTCCTAACTGCAACTCTTTTCTTACTCTTTGATCATTTTTGCTTTGTTGACACTTAATTATCAATTTGTACCTATAGAATACTAAATCCGCCAATTATAACAGAAATATAAATTAATCCATAAAATAATCCACGTAAACTTAAACGTTTAGTGTTATTTCTGAACTCCACTGTATCTGTTGTATCTAGTGTTTTTGCTATTGTTTGGTTATTCGTATTAAAGTCCTAGTGTTGTATTTCGTGTTTTTAAGAAGGTTGTTGCGAATGCACTTTTGCGCATGTTTTTTTACATGTACATTTGTGCATGTCCATTTGAACGAGTGTGTTTGTGCATGTTTGTTGATATGTATTAATGTCCTAGGATTGTAGTTTGTGTTTTCATGATCCTTTTTGCGAATGCACTTTTGCGTGAGTACTTTTGTGCGTGCTTTTGTACTATTACTTATGTGCGTATATTTTGTAGCGAGTGTTTTTGTGCACGTTTATTGATTCGCATTTGTGTCCTCGTACTGTAGCAAGTATTTTCATGATCGCTTTTGTAATCCAATTTTGACTATGTTCGAGTCCGAATTTGGAAATTTGACATTAGACAGGAATTTTAGCTCGCTAAAATAGCTTTCTAATGCCGCCGGAACCAGTTGATTTGGAGTCCGGATGAGAAAGTTATGCTCGACTTCGTGGACACTACCGAAGATGTTGAGGGATCCTCTCTTCTAATTTGATTTTATTTTCCTAATTGCAACTCTTTTCTTACTCTTTGATCATTTTTGCTTTGTTGACACTTAATTATCAATTTGTACCTATAGAATACTTAATCCACCAATTATAACAGAAATATCAATTAATCCATAAAATAATCCACGTAAACTTAAACGTTGAGTGTTATTTCTAAACTCCACTGTATCTGTTGTATCTAGTGTTTTAGCTATTGTTTGGTTATGCGTATTAAAGTCCTAGTGTTGTATTTCGTGTTTTTAAGAAGGTTGTAGCGAATGCACTTTTGCGCATGTTTTTTTACATGTACATTTGTGCATGTCCATTTGAGCGAGTGTGTTTGTGCATGTTTGTTGATATGTATTAATGCCCTAGGATTGTAGTTTGTGTTTTCATGATCCTTTTTGCGAATGCACTTTTGCGTGAGTACTTTTGTGCGTGATTTTGTACTATTACTTATGTGCGTATATTTTGAAGCCAGTGTTTTTGTGCACGTTTATTGATGCGCATTCATGTCCTCGTACTGTAGCACGTATTTTCATGATCGCTTTTGGAATCAAATTTTGACTATGTTCGAGTCCGAATTTGGAAATTTGACATTAGACAGGAATTGTAGCTAGCTAAAATGGCTTTCTAATGCCGCCGGAACCAGTTGATTTGGAGTCCGGATGAGAAAGTTATGCTCGACTTCGTGGACACTAGCGAAGATGTTGAGGGATCCTCTCTTCTAATTTGATTTTATTTTCCTAATTGCAACTCTTTTCTTACTCTTTGATCATTTTTGCTTTGTTGACACTTAA